AAAAAATATCTGTTTCTCATTTCCAAGCGCATCATTTTGAACTATGCGCCTCAAACGTTTTTTTTTCTTTCTAAAGCATTCCAAAATGTGCTTGTACACACACTTGTCTCAAATTTCCCCCCTTTCAGCTCAGTATTCAAAAAAAAAAAAAAAAATCACCTCGTCGCCTGCCTCATTTTAAAATTGTCATGAAACGAGAAACAGAGAATTTTTTATTTCTGGCCTAATTTTTTTTTTTTTAAATTCTACGCAATAAAAATCATTGAAAACAAAATTTTACAAAACAGCCAAAATGTCTTTTTAAAGAAGATTAATTCCAGCTAAAATAAAGAACGTTACTATGAATTGGAATATATATCAAAAGTTGAAAATATTGCAAAGTATAAATAATAAGAGACAGGTACATATTTATTTATCATAATATTTTATCTGTATTCATAAAAAGATTCAGTCTGACAGCATTGCAGTTTAATTCCAATGCACGTCATTACAGCAATTCATATTTCCTGAGGAGACCATTGGGTAACAACAACAATTCCTACAGTAACTTCTCAATACGAAGCATTTCTTGCCTCACTTTCATTTGCATGACAAAAAACACTTTCTTTATTCAACCTTATCATCAATTTATGACTTGCGAGTCACATGAAGAAAAAAAAGAAGAAGAAAATTGATAAATTAGCTGCCCTTATTCCATCCATGCTTTGTGAATAATTAACTATCAAATTTGGTCTTGAGATAAAAATCCTTTTTTTCAATTATACTAAAATACAGCATTGATGTCTTTTATCAAATACCTTTGCCTTCAACATTACTAAGGTATACCTTTGCTTAATAGCGAGTCAAAGTATACGAGAATAGCCGTATCAGACAGTTCTATTTGTATTATATTGCAAGCCATTCAGTATTAGTAATTACGTGAATAACAAACATTAATGAAATAATGCCCTACATGCCTTTTAAAAAGAATAGATTGCTGTATAAAGTGAATGCAATGCGCTGAGTAGGTAGGAGGTAGAAAACATTCATTATCAGAGATGAAATAATTTATATAAGAGTATATCCTCTAATACAGCAGTTATTTAGCAACTCTGTTTCGAAATCTCTCTGCTGGCTAGCTGGAAATCTTTACAAAAATAATGATACAGCTACTAAGAAGCAAGTACAAGTGAAATTTGAACCATCCACAGTTCAGTATCTCATTATCTTATTTTATTTTTTTATTTTTATTATTGTTTATATATGTCAACAGTTGGTGACAAACGACAGCAGTTCCTAGGTATCTGTTATCATCCATATCAACATAATGCTTAAAATTTTATAACTTGTTTCCAGGGCAACATCTTATGAGTATTTTGTATTTGATGCACATTTTAGATGAAGAAACTAGACCAGATGTAAACTGAAAGTGCTACTTTGTGTTGATATGTTTTTTAAGTGTAGCTGCTTTCACTCATTTCACTTATATTTTCTGCTGCTTTGATAAAATGGTACTTGTTGGATGTGCCAGCATGTCTAATTATTATGTAGAGATTAATTATTTGCTTAAATATTTATTCAATTACGATATAATCATCTACTAACTGGTTGTACCAAACTGTACTCTGACTGTGTCTGAGAGTGTTTACGCTATTGCATTTCACAAATTGGTTCAATATTAAAAATATTTGGTTCTAAATTAATATTCAAATGAACCACTATAAATTAATACTAGTACTACCTGTAACAGTGTACATGCCAAAAACCACCTGACATTACAAAACAAATAAACAAACTCAAGCAACCTATATTTAAATTAAACTTTCATTAGCACACATTTTCACAAAACAAACCATATATACAGTATAGTATATATATATATATATATATATATATATATATATATATATATATATATATATATATATATATATATATATATGTATCCATTTTCATTAATTTAAAACACTTTCCAACAAGTTTCCATTGCAAACAGATCTTGCAATATTCCACAGAACTTGCGTACTAAATTTAAGTAGTGTTTACATGGAAAAGATTCATGCATTGTATATTTCCACAGTGAAAACATGAAAACATTAATTGAATTACATTAAGCTAAATAGCATCTATATACAGAAAATTGCAATTCAATGTTAAGTTTAACTAAATGGAATAATAAGAAAAATGTATACAAAGTGAGATGTTGTCATTTTGTAGAAAAGTCATCACTTTGCTGTTTGTAATCAGAATGTGCACACACAGACATTATACATTAGCCCCTGTGCTTTGCACACACAGACACAAACATGTACACAGACGCACATTGACATTGTACAACACACACACCTTCACATTGTACCATAGTTGTGAAACAAACATTGGATTAATTTTTAATATAGTTGAATTAACTTTTAATATACCGGTAGTTGCAATATGAACTTGATTAAAATGTGTTCCTATATAGGGTTACGTTTTAATTGGAGTTTAATAAAACTCAATTACAAATGCAATTCAAATTTATAATTGTGTTTAATTAAGTTTAACTAAATAAAAGTTGAATATCCCATGACTTAACATAGAAATGTTTGTGGAGCATAGGTTTAGTAAAGTGGGAAGGTATGGTAAAATTATATTAATATTAATAAAAATTGTACCATACCTTCCCTTTTACTAAACCTAAGCTTCGCAAACTTGACTTAAATTTGATTAAATATTAATATAAATTATGAAAATTAGTAAGGTTTGCCACAATGTAGGTCCTGTCGTTGCAAGTCGGTGTAATTAAAGTCATCACAGCATTGGTACCACACTCTCGCACACACACACACACACACACACACATACACAAAGACAGAAACAGACAATGTACAACACTAGCTCAAACATCTGTGCTTTCATACACACATAGACATTACACAACATTATATGTAGCCCCATCTACACACACATACAAAAATGTACATACATTGGTACAACATATGAGCCCCTGTCTGTCATTTGCACAAACATTGCTGCTCTTACTTTAAAGGTCAACGACTACATTCAAAAGACCATTCAGTATTCACATGGATCTACCCCAAAATGACACATCTCCAAATGTGATAGAATAATGATGTATGTAAATCTACACTAACAGAATTCACATAGTAAATATACGTCAGTATCAATTTTTACATGCCACGCTGCACTATTTTATTTGCTTTAATTGCTGAAGCTTGCGTAACACTATGCAAAAAGCAAGCAGTTCTGTGATTGGTCAAACAATTGCAACTAACACTATTTTTATGACACCATAATTTTTAGGTTCAGCATTTTGGACCAACTGCACATAATTTCTCAATGGCAAAAATATAGAAAAAGTTATGCACGTTGTTTATTTTGTTAAAGTTTGTCCTTGGCATTCAAAAGACGGAATTCGTTGTTGTGTAACACACGTTTGAATTTCAAGCGCTATATAACCTATGTTTACATGCATTGTATACGAGTATAACCCACATTATAATTCAAAGGACGGAATTCGTTGTTGTGTAACACACGTTTGAATTTCAAGCGCTATATAATCTATGTTTACATGCATTGTATACAAGTATAACCCACATTATAATGTATATTAACAAGTGTATTTAGAATTTATAGAAAACTTAAACGGAGAGCGCACACACAACACACAACAATGATGTAAAAATACAAAGTGTCAATAATAAAATCGAAATGACTTTGAGACGATCCACTTCAACATAAGGGTATTTCTGTATAATCAATGACCACTACAGTAGACCGTAATGCAGTGTGCATAAACGACCAGCAACCCACCATTAGCGTCTCTACTGACCTCTCAAGGAGCCAATATTTTAATGCCTCATGAGAAACACTTCTTTGGTTCTCTCCTTACAATCCCCTCCCCCTCCTCTAGGATGATGTCACTATCACTATGGCAATCTGCTACTTTTCTTGTTTTCTACCCTTTTTTTCTGTGTCTGAACTATCAATGCTCCAATATTGAGTTATTTTTAATACGCTTCTCATCTTGTAAGTCAATCGCAAAGCTGCTGCCTCTGACAATATAAGTACTTTCTATAAACCATTGACTTTTTGTTATATTTGTAACTCCTGCCCAATTGCTCTATTCATACAGATTTGACATTAAGATTACTCTAGGATCTTGGTCTTTATGCTTGGTGAGTTCCAAGGAAATCCAGGCAATATGGGGAAATAACCAGCGTATACATTCTTTGTAGGTTTTTGATGAAACAGATAGCTAAGCCAGTAATGTATTAAAGAATTGTATCGTCACAATTTCTTTAGTGAGATGTCCATAATGATGATGTACACATTTATTTTCAAAAAAAATTATATTATGTTTTCAGGGTAAACTGATTTTACTCAACAATAAATAACCTACATGTACTTGTATTATTGTTACTGTGTCTCCGTAAATGAAGGTGAATCACCCTGTTAAAACAATCAGATCATTGGTTCAAGCGTTGATTTCTTGTAATGTGAGATTTACATGAGCTCTCAAACAATAAAGTACTGCATTCAATGTTGTTGTTTTTTTACATTTTTCAAATATTCATATATGGTTCGTTTGTTTAAAATCCTTCGTCTCGAGCGGCTTATTACACGTACCCGGTGAATTGAGTGTAAACTGTGAACCGACAATGACTGTTATTGTTTCCTTTGGTAAAGCGTCGTCATTTGTGTCACGAACATCAACACGAGTCAAAACCCACGTAACTATTGGTAACAGGGGCGCGCGTTGATGTGCTGGAAACCGTAGCACGGATAACACGCCGAAATGCGGTGTGCTATGATCATTCGCATACATAGTACTGTCTCTACGGTACGATGAATTTAGCCACATTTTGTCGTCTTGTTATCGGTTCAACTGAGCGAAACACTAGGACGTCGGTCTTTGAAATCAACACAATCTTGTGTGTATCTCCATCGCAAAGCAACGCGAGTCGAAAGAGAAAAACAGAACACGGATTACGCATGTTATCACCACATTAGACACTCACCTTTTGGAAAACCATTTCTCTGGGCCCTTGATGTTGGTCCAGTTCCATCATCGTTGAACATTAAATGCATATTTGTCGAATCAAACGCATGGTATTTCAATGTAGGTCCCGCTCCTCAATCTCAGCTGTTGCTCGGTGTCCGCGATACGCGTAGATCTCCTCTCTCATCATGCATAGGTAATGAGCCTCGTTTTCGTCACCAGGAAGTTCCTCCATCTGCTTTACGGATCCAGTGCACATCAGTCGCGATATAAATTATTTATTTTTCGACGGCATGTGATATTTGCATGACGTCATTGTCGCAGTTTCCGTGCGCCAGTCTGGCTTTGTAAAAGGGTCAGATAACAACGCAAAACAAAAACGCGCGATGCGCATGGTACTATTTTTTGTTTGCACTCTGGGATAGTGATTATAATCATCAGTCATTAGTTTCACGAAAGACGCAAATGGATGCCCCAACCTCTGTGTTTTACGTCATGGTGTTAAAAAAACGCCGATAAAATCTGACATGGCATTCGCTCATGCATGACTGTGACGTGGATATGTGGACAAAATTTGCTCCATCTGTCCGTCGATATGCTTTACCTAAAATGAGGCTGACTATCACCTAGATTATTTAATTTAGACTCGGCAACCCCTTCCGGGAATATCAATGGTTCTCGTCACGAACGCCTGAATGATCAATAGGCCGCGTACTATATATGGAACTTTCTTTATTTTCTGAACGGACCATTTCACCATAGTACACATTTAAAAACGCACCGCGGCTCGACCATTCGGATACACTCTGCATGAACGAAAGACGATGGACGGGGGCTTTAATATTAGATACTGGTCATTTTCTCCGACTGGGGTGATGGGAAAAATACGCTATTTTGAAATTGAATGGTGGGAATGCCTTTTTTTGTTGCCTGGGAGGGGGTAATTTTGCTATGTGCAGAAAAAAATACATACATGTAGTTTAAACAGTCACAATATTCACCGATTATTGTACATTTTGTATTGCACAAAAATATCCAAGTTCATGAAATTTCTTTTAACACTTTCAAAATTCAACTTTTATTTTTGTAATGTAAAGTTTGTATTTTTTAGTTGTTGATAAAAACCAATGCAAGCACTCAATTTTTTTTTTGAATTACTCATCAAAATGTATAATACCAAAGAAGCTAGAAATGAGTATGATATATTTGAAATACGTACAATTTATCATTAATAAAAAATATCAAAACAACAGTATATAACATAACCGGGTATATGAGCTATTTAATAGCATTACTGCTTCCATGACAAACAACGACACTTTCATGGTCGCCGTCATCACCACTGTCATGGACAACATCAACATGGACCACATGATCACCACTGCCATGTTATGGACGACATCATCACCGCTGCTATGGGCAACACTAACACTGTCGCGGATGGCATCATCATTACTGTCATGCATGGGGGGCGAGAACTGCTCCGGAACCCCAGAAATTTTTTGAAATCTAGACCCTCTGAAACGCTATTTCCTGCATTTTGAGAGACAAATTTTGCTGACACCAAGCGTTCCAGCTTGATTGGGGGCGACGCCCCTCTAACATTTTTTTTCGGAGGGGCGACACCTTCCTCCCGCCCGACACTGTTGTGGATGACACCATTTCCAAGACTATCATCACTGCTGTCGCAGCAAAATAATATCCACCGGCACAAGAGTAAACAATTGTTAATTCGTGTTTTGTACTATAATTATAAACAGTTTCGTGTGCTTCACATGTTCATTTGCCTTAATTGCGTTTTGTGGCTCGTCACTGCCGTCCATGGAATCTTGCCGATATCGATCTGGTTGCAATTTCTGTAGCCATCGCCTTTAATTCACACAAAAAAACCCTCGTGGCGAAATAGTAATTAGCATACCAATGTTTTTGACCTTTGTCGTCATTTTTTAATTATCCTTGACTTTTCCCACACCAGAGTGAATAAAACTGACCACAAAATACGCCCATCGAGAAGTGTCATTGATAGAATATTTTATATTGCAATTTCTTTCAAATTTATTTTGTAATATTGCAATACATTTGTTGTAATCAAACAATATATTTGTATACACATTATTTTTATTCCATGGCTGTGAATGCGTTATAAATTTGTTTAATACTATAATTTATTATCTATTTTCGAACATTTTTCTGAGTATTATTAATTTCCATAAACAATATTCAACTATCTTTCTGGAACACCGATACTTACAGTATGGCAAAAATGTATGACGCAAAGCCCATTCTATAAATGTTTAAATGTTCCTTGTTCAAAGTTAGAAACTAGGAGAGCATGGGTCTTATTTAGGAACTCCTGCCAGAGCAACTGCACAAATCATAAGAACAAGTTAACAGCTCCTAAGGATGGTATTCCCAGATTAACACCACTTGTTAATGACACATAAAACATTAATTCTCAACTTCGATGAAGGGTCCAGTTGCTACTCACTAATAAAGCCTGTTTTTTTGTTTTTTTTTTGCTTGAGGGGACAAAATATTTTCATATTTTTGCGAAATAATATGTTAAATTAAAATTATCATTAATAATATTGATTTCATGCCATTGTCAGGGGCGTAATTTATTGGCCGAACCATAGACATTGTATGTACAAAACAATACATATTATGGCTCGTCTTGCGAAGTCTGACTTAGATTCGAGTTATTGATTTTCAACCACGACAGAAAAGAGCTGCAAGGCTAGTACCGAGATGGACAACACTACGTCACTGCGTAATGTATAGACGTCTTCGACTACGTCACTGCGTAATGTATAGACGTCTTCGACTACGTCACTGCGTAATGTATAGACGTCTTCGACTACGTCACTGCGTAATGTATAGACGTCTTCTAAAACGTCACTGCGCAGCTTGATCAGATGAGCACACAGACCAAGAATTGGAACTTGTAGACATTCACAAATTACAATCACTAATAGGAATTGTTCCATTTGAGACAATGACAATGGCACCTCGTAGCTTTGCGTGTGCCCAGATTCTTATCTTCCAGCAAAATGTCATTGATTTCGCATTGAATAAACAGCCCGGGCCATCTAGCGAGTCGGTATTCTATCTTTTGACGCAAATAGTTTTTCTCTAATCGCTTTATTCTTGTAAATATGCTGTGTTCACAGTGAGTGAACCAATGTGCATCTTCACCGTTACTTCGGGTCGCGCCCTCTTTTGACGTAGCGTGTCTGTGAAGTTAATGATTTAAGCAACAACGTCACATTTTAAGTTGTCTAAGATATCTGTTATAAACGACGAATAACTTCACAATCAAATAAAGTTGTTTATTTCAACGATATTTCTAACACTCTTCTCACAGACTCTGTCCGTCACTAGAGGGCGCGCCTTATTACAAGAGGTGTTATACAGTTTAGTGGAGAAGAACATCATTTATATCTTTATATCTTTATAACATCATTTATATCTTTATCACACAGTTTACTTTCTTATGTCAACTCTGCAATTCCATGGATAGTACTTGTTGTGATCTATTACATTTCCAAACACGTTACAAATAATTGAATTACAAGTTCAGTGCAAAGTCGGTGGATATGTAAGATCGGAGCCGGACTGGGGCGTTAGCGCGGATGGTTTTGTGAATGGGCTGTTAAAAATGTTTCTGGTTTGGTAAACATATTAGTAGTTGACATTCAGCAAATTTTTAGTTAAAAGGGGTAGAATATATTACGTCATAGAAATCGCTGGGCGCACTTATAAAAACCCCTGAATTTAATTCGTCTCTCACGGCCAAGACTAAAGTTTTGTTTTGTTTTGTTTTGTTTTTATTTTAATTCTTGCTTGAGCGTTTTGCATTTGCTTTCGACTCAACCGATATCCAACAATGTCAAACTGTGGAAGTAAAATATGCGAAAATTGACGTTTTCACTGCTGAAGTCTGCACAAACGCATCTAACATGCCAACCCACAGCTAAAGTTGTGAAATTGATAGACGCGCCACAATGTTTAAAAACCTTAATATTGATATTAACGGCCGTCGCCCCTTAGATTCCATGTAACCATATTATTTATTACACCTTTCCATCGAATAAAATCAAAGTCACTCATTTTCATGCGCAATTGAAGTGATGAATCTTCTATTGTAATAAAAATTGAAAAAAAAAGAAAAACGGAAAAAAGAAAAAAAATGCTTCTGCTTATTTGGCTTCATTGGAGGATTGAGTCTGTGAACTTTGACACAGAAACGATGATATTTGTATAAACAAGTACGGAACTGAAAGTTAATTATTAAACCAATTTGGGTCATGTCGTTGAAATCAACATGGCTACAATGTAACGTATAACTGAAAGCTTTTGCAGCGGAGATCCACATGATATAGTGACGTAATTCAAAGCCAATCTGACCGTAAGTCCGATAGTATTTATTTGCCATTGCCTGTACGTGGTACGCTAAACACATCTATTGATTTCACGCTTCACGATTTTACGGGTACAGAGGTCATGTAAAATCAAGGTATTTTGCATAAACAATAACATAATCGAGGATGAGAACACGTGTATTAGCTGAAAACTTGAAGTTGATTTTTGACAAATGTAATTCTAAATCTAAACTACCATTACTATTAGGTGTCACGATTATCGCAGATGCTTGTTTGCTTGCTATTTGTCCCAACAAATGACTAAAAAATAAATAAATGTATCAATCATATAACTATCATGTACGAGTGGTGAAATAGTTCCCACTCTGTGTTGCGTCAATATATGAATATATTGCGATGACATGTGACGGTAACATTCAGAACATCGTTATATTCTAATTGAATACTTAGAAAAACAGTCACGACATGAAATACGAAAACTATAGATGATTTCTCTTTTTAGATACAGATTATTAACAGTTCAGATGTAGTACAGGTTTCTATGGTAAAATGATAGCACGGAGCAGAAAGAATGTCACACTTGTTATGACATCGGTGATGGTTGGATATTTACTAGGCAAAATGATGGAAAGAATCAACACCAGCCCGAAAGTTATTCAGGATATCGACGTCCAATCAAGTCAATTGTGTTCATATGATTGTAAAATGAATAAAGTCGACATTTTAGTAAATCGTGACAGTAATGCGGATCAGTTGGAGCACCAAGGAGCTGGTGGTACGTAAAACATATTTAGATTGCATTATAACTAGAGTTCGATAACATTGTAACAAAGAACAAAGTGAATGTGCTGCATTATGTTTCTAAATCCTAAAAAAATGGGCTCGTTATGTATTGTAGTCTCGTCTCGAATGTGTGCAAATAATATATTATTCTTTGTACAGGAAGACAACCAGGAGGACCAGCAAGTCGGAAGTTTTTTATCGACTGTGGCGGTAATGTGGCTTCATCTGTTGTTCTCTTTCGTGAGACATACCCGGATGCAGAAGATTTTTACATATATTCATTCGAATTGGATGCCAGACTGTGTCCGTACTTTGCGGGCTATACTAACCATACATTGTACTGCCCAGTGGCAGTGTCCAATGTGACAGGTAAGAGTGTAGTGTATTATATATTATGAAACTACTAGTATATGAGAAAAATTCAAACTTTTCGCTATATGCTAAACTAGCGCGGGAAAACACTCACCAGGAATCCGAGTCATTATGTCAGTTTTCGGGCAGTTTTCAGTTAATCAAATTATTTATTTATTTATTTATTTATTTATTTATTTATTTATTTATTTATTTATTTATTTATTTATTTATTTATTTATTTATTTATTTACATTATATTTTGTTCATTCTTATTATCTCAATCATTGCCGCATGGACGAGATAAAGTAATTGTCACGTGGCTAGGGGTGACGTCATCGCCCTTGTTGACAATGTTATGTTTGAACTTTCTTGACGTATTATTACTGTATCCGCCCGACGGTCTGAAGTCAAATTATGCATTATAAAAATCTCTTCTATGAATCTGCCTAAAGTCAAATATTTGTTTATATGAGAACCATATACTAGTATCTCGCGTATGTGCGCGACGACTACCGCCCTTTAACACTCATTATGCCGCAGTGGTTATAATAAACTATGTTTGGTTCAACTCTAGAATCACACAAAATATGAGTACATCAGACTAATTAAATGAATAAATGACAGAGATAATATATTCAACTCAATTTAATACATGCACAACAGTGTGTTTAATAAAGTCAGGGTCATGGAATCCAACCGTGTTCATGATGCTAGAGGTAACAATCAACTTGAATCATATTTCCCAATTAGCATTCAACGTATTGACATGTTTAACAATCTTGTCTAATACTAGACCCTGTCCCATCTCACATATATATGCCCTTTTCAGTTGCCTCGATCCTGGTGCTAACATGTAAGTGAAACTACACTCTATGTTTAGGCGAACTGACGGCCTATGCAGAGGCCGCATGGTACCCTGGGAAATATGTGAACGGAGAAGATAAACAGTGGGGAGGAGGTTCGTTATTTGTTTCTAAAAACGAAAGTACTCGACAAGATGGCGGTGAGAGAATGCTGTCGTATCGTGAAAAGATACCGGCCATAGACCTGTCGCTATGGTTACAAGAGCACTTTAATCAAGAAGACTACGTTATCTTGAAATTGGACGTTGAGGGCGCAGAGTATCAAATTCTACGAAAAATGTTGACAGACGGGACGATACATTTAGTTGACAAGTAAGTGCGCATAAATACATAAAAAGTAACTCTGCGTTCATTGGTTTGGTACGTTGACAATGCCAGTCTACTTGTCATGGAAGAAAGTAAGAAAAAAAAAATCAGTTTTTTAGCTTAATGTTCATGTTGACAGTAATGATGTTCATGGTATCGTGTGTGGACATTATTAATGTTGAAAATATGTTAGCGACGGTTTCATATATGTGTCCCTGTGTCAACAGAACATCTTTACTGGAACAACAATCAGCTGGCGTGTGTGAGTGTAGAAAGAAATGGGCAGCAAGACACCCCTCCCGCTGACTGTGACTGAAACCATTAACGCATTTTGTAATGGGTGTAATCATCCATGTGATTACACTATCTGAAACAATCTTAAAAGATAAGGCGAATCCTCGCCTGACATGCAGGCGAGAGTGGCGCCCTTGCCGGTTGAACGGCATCAGACCCCCCCCCCCTCCCCCACTGTTGTGTTGGGTTTGGAACACCGCGGAGGGCGCAATTCACGCGACCTTGTCAGGCTAGGCGAATGCATTTTTTATAATATATTCCAACAGACTATATGGTGAATATCACAATGACCAACCAACAGGGAACAGCGACAGAGAAAGATTACAAATCAAAGCCGATCTTAAAGCGAAAGGTTATCATATGTTGAGATGGATTGGCGAAAGAAAGACATATCACGACTTTGAGTTTCTGCATCCGCCAAAGGTGAGACACATTTCATTTGTTAGAGTAATTTACCCCGTTAAGCTTCGGAGCCATTGTTGAGCACATCTATGTTTAATTCGTTTCCAACGTGACGATTATTCTCACTACCAAAAATCTTAGTTTCGCTAGAAATTATTTCACCGTTTTATTATCTTGGACAAATTCACCAGATTTCTAACAGTGGGACAGTGGTAGTACGTCGTGGAAGCTCAACAAACAGCATCCTTCTGTACTTAAGCGATACTATAATACAATACATTTTTTACTTTTTAAAACATACAGTTAACGGCAGAAACCCGCCGACCGTACGTTATAAATATTTTTTAAATGTTTTTTTTTTTTTATAAATCAAACATTTGTTGACGAATCCAGACAAGATTGTTACACCATCGCCAGTTCTAACTAATAGTAATGAGTTAGTTCAACATCAACCAATCAGCAGAAACTTTATTTGAAGAAGTGAGCATGCGCGCGCATTATTGACGTAGATGAGTCTATTACCCTTTACAATTTTACTAAATTACAGAGAATTACTCTCGGCGCAACAAAGACATTCGCTTCATCTTTATAAATATTTATAAATTTCAAATTGAAACAATAAGGTTTATATTGAATATTTTTAAACTTTGAGTAACGTTGTAACGTTTTCAAATGACGTCGTTGTGCACTGTGTTTGTTGATTGGCTGGTTAGGTTCAACTGCGATTGAAATTTATAAAGATGAAAGGAATATGTTTCTTGCGCTGAGAGTACTTTGTCATTTTGAATGGGTATGTTTGTACCAGAATAGCTCGACGTATTATCTTACACACAATGTTCTTCATGATTTCGCGATTCAGTGCATACAACATGAAATCAAACACAAAAACTGTTATTATATTATCTCGTGTTTCACATTCAATATCTTACAGGTGTTGGACCCAAAGATAGCACCGATGGCAGGAGGTCCCATAATCAGCAAGTGTGGTCAAACTGGTCACGATAGAAACCAGGTTGCCATAGTGATTTCTATTGGGATGGGGCAAAAAATGGCACGCAGAGTCGTAGCAGCTTTGAAGGCACATACAAAGAACATTCCTTGCACGTTATTCGTTTATGGCGATTTTGTCGAACAATTTCCAGAACAAGTCAAAGATTGGTCGAATTACTGTAATATTGGAATCAGGGGACATGGACCTCACCTTGACACAGTGTGGAGAAATTTAAACTACTACTACAGCCGAATGTCCGTCGTTAGTGCTGTTTTAAGACTCAAGAGAATCGGCATCGAACCTATTTATCTGTTTCCCCCTGCGTTAACAAACCACACAGTGACAATTGCCAAGAAATACGGGATATGGCTCGTCCAGCCGAACGTCCAATTCCCTCCAAGAACAGGTATGAAATGTTGTAATGTAGTGTTTATAGTAAAAAAATACAATTGAAACCATTTGGAATGGATTTGTCCACGTCACAGATTTATTTGGAATTATATGCATTTTGCATTAGTTGTATGATTTGTAGAGTTTTCTTTTTGTCTTGAATGAGCCGACATTGGTTATATTACCTGTATAACGTAACTTTGCATGCAACCTTTTCTATCGGTGTCCAGCTTGCATTTTTTCTACAAATCTTCTAGCCATCCCCTGTGATTTCAGATAGCCGACCCCCTAAATACTGTTGTTGTTTTGCAGAACCAATGCTGAGCGAAGAGTCGTACTATAACTTTCGTGACGTTGAGAGAGTACCCAAGGCTTTGAGAATAATACATGAACGTTTATCGCGTGACCAAGGTGGAATAATTAGCCTGGATACAGATGTATTTGATAGCTACATGATTTCAGTCTTCCTTTTTGACTACTTATTTGAAAATTCAGGTTTTAATTTAGTCGATCTCAAGCAGTGTTACGACTGAACGTATGTATACAGTCACTTGTACATTGTATGCAACTCAAGTACAATGTAAACCCAGTGGCTAGATTACTAGTCCCTGTGTCCATTTACTCTGCATGGGCGCGCCCAGAACGCACCGCTGCAGTTTAATATTTTCCCCGTTTCTGTGATATTCCCATCGCTAAAAAACATGGCAAAATAATGCTGATATAGTATCACGAGATATGGTACAATTTACTCCAACACGACATAATAATGATAATTAAATAAATGAGATTTATCTACCATTATTTACTATACGGGTAGCCATATTGAAATGACACTTGAAACTAAAGTCTCTTTATTTAGTTTCAAGCCGTATTATAAACATTCCAACACATGGTGTCGAAGATTGAGGTTTCATTAGTAAGTTCATAACTGCGAAGAGCCTTCAGAAAATATTGTATTTGGTGTTATTTCATGAAACATTAAACATTAAATTTCGAAAAAAAAGACATGAAGTGATGGATAGAAGTTAGTTAGGATAACTAGTTAACTCTTTTATAGTTGGTGAACTTATTTGGAAAGTCTGTAAATGTGGGTTCAAAGTTGATATCATGCAGAGTTCTCCCCACAGCATTATAGAGTAGGGGTTCCCAACTGTTTAATTTTGGATTTAAAATAGAATCAATTTAGTATAACAATGAATACAACAGTGGTGATTAACATACATGTGTATCCTACTGCTGTGCAAATTAACCGATATTCTATGCTATTTTTCTGGGGATAAAAAAATAGCTAGATGCAAAGAATGCTACGTTGAAAGTCATTAGTAAAGTTGCATGTAAATGTTGGTAAATGTCAGTGTAAAGACTGGCGAACTACGTGGAATGTATCTGAAGTTGAAAGCACGCAAAGTGTTGGTAAGCAACATGGAAAGTCAGCAAATTTGCATGCAAAGTTGGTAAAGTTCTGTAAAAAAACTTCTTCAAAGTTGCGCGTCAGTTGGTAAAGTTGCGTGGAAAGCCTGCAAAATTGCGTGCAAAGTTGGTAAATTTAGGTTAAAAGCCAGAAAGGTTGTGGCTTTAGTTGGTAAAACGTTAATATGCGAAAAATAGGTGTTGCGAAGTGTCAAGTCTGCGAATTGCAAAGTTGGTAAAGTTACATGGAGAATTAGGTGAAATAGTGAAATTAATCCTGCAAAGTTGCGTGTAAGTTGCTAAGGTTGCGGGGAAAGCTTGACAAGTTGTCTGTAAAGTTCCAAGGAAAGTCTGCAAAGTTGATAAATTTATGTTGTAAGTCTGCAATGTTGTGTACAAAGTTGGTAAAGTTATTTGTTAAGTCTGCAAAGTTACGTAGAGAGTTTGTAAAGCTGCGTGCAAGATTGGGAAAATTACATAGAGATGTATGCAAAGATATATTCACAATGGAAGTCTGCAACTGAAAATTGCAGGCAAAGTTGGTGAAGTTACGTGGCAAGTCAGCAAAGTTATGTACAAAGTTTGTTAAGTCACAAAGAAATTCTGCAATGTTATATGCAAAGTAATTAAAGATATTTGGAATGTCTGTTATGCTGGGTGGCAAGTCTGCAAAGTTGCATTCAAAATCGGTAAAGTTAAAATGGAAGTCTGCAAAGTAGCATGTAAAATTGTTAAAATTATGCAGAATCCTGCAAAGTTGCGTGCAAAATTGATATAATTACGTGCAAAGTTGCTTTGAAAATCTAAAAATTATTTCGACCTACATATCACCCACCCTAGATATAACTTTGGGTTGAACTTTGCTAAATAGCCAACCGTGACATTCTAGCTGGTATAAGGTTTATAAAGTAAATGCCACACATAATGTACATTCCAGTCAATTTTGGCAAACTTAGCAAGCAAGTAACAATGATGATAGTATTGTATTGAGGGAAAAACATAACGCAATACGACACGAGAATCATACAGGGCTCATACACCTGGAATTAATTAAAACTCAAGGACATTTTTTAAATTATTTTTCCAGGACAATTCCATCCCAACTTTTGTCATTTTCGTGTGTGTGTTTTTCTGTCACTGTGATAATTGTAGCAGCCAATAATGAGATAGATGGCTTTTTACACTTGTCGTCAAAACAATCCATTTCAAGTGTTATTTCAATAAGACCACTCTGCGACAGTAATGGTTTTTTTATGTTTATTGTTCATTTTCCAGAAAACCATTCAAATACCATGACTATATGAACCGTGATGTTACACACAGAAAAACATGGATGAATGAATGTAGCTCTCCCTCAATATACTGGTAGACACCCTAAAGTACAAAATAATTGGAAACAAATATATAAATGGCTATTGACACTAGAGGGCGCCTTATTTGATTGTCAAGATGCATGCACATGACTATACCACACACCTGATAACAGACCTTTTGTAGGTAACAAACCAACTCCTGCCCGAAAATATTGTTGAATTGTGTATATGATTCACGCTAAAAAAATTCAGGATCCACTGAAACTGTGCATATTTTAAGTCTTGAAAAAAGCCACAGATTTGGTGTCCCAAACAATAAACGTGCACATTTATTTTATTTTAATATTGTGTTTTTTCTTCATGCAAATAAATTTTTCAGAAATTCTGACATAAAACTTGTGATAACTGATAAAAGAGATGATCAGAAACGTCATGAATACCGGTATTGTGGTTTATTATCCTAACAATCCTGACAAAGATTCAACCAATGTGAAAAAGACTTACTTTAATTCATAAAAAAATCATGTATTGCTACATATATATCTGTCCAGCAGATGAGAAACATCATAAACTGTTGAATCTATTGTACATTGAAACTTTTGTTTCATGAATTTATATATTCTTCGTCATTAATATAAAAAGAATACAATGATAATAGAAAAATGATAAAAATTCAACATTACTACTTGAATAACTAATTATATACAGATGTATATTGGTAAATTTTTTTCCCATAAATATATTCCCAAAATGTCCTTGTCTATTTATTTATTTACATAATGTAATAAAAAAAAAAAGAGTAGATAAACATAAGGGCACAGAACTAGCATACCAGTATGTAGGGCAATGTACAAATGTATAAATAATGAGATGTTACAAAAGATATATCATACTCCTCCAACTTAGTGGCCATGCTTGACTAAGCGTTCAACTCACACTTTTGGGATGCTTCTATTTTTGGGGTCATGCTCGGCCAAGCGCCCACACATGATTTTTTGAGCTGAGTACCAAGGTGTTGGACGAGTACAGTATGTACATTCAAAGTAACATATCAATTATATAACTTAACTGAAAATTCTTGTCAGGAAGAAACTGTCTATGACATCTACATGAGATATTAGTAATATATTATATTTGTACATGTATACTAACCAATCCATAGGGTTATATATATATTATTCACTAAGGAAAAAGTTTAGGCGAGGTAAGCTGTATTGATAACTGTCAATACCAGTTATTAGCAGATGACAGTCACTTTTGACATCAAAGTCTGAAATTTTACATTGAATTCATCATATTAATATCAGTGGAGTCAGCATTCAGCATTTTTCCCACCAATGGACACTAATGTAAATACAATGTAGTCAATGCAGGAAGCTATAACACTGTAAATATCTATTGTTTTCACATCTTAGTGTATCATGGAAGATACAGATCATAGTCAGGTTTGTTTTCAATTTTATTCCAAGTGCAATTTTTCCACAAATGTTGACCCAAATAAAATGAATATCGCCCACAGTTGTCTTCTAAACCACAGGAATCTTCACATGTTTTTTCCCACCATTTATTGAAAGTTTTCACATCTTTTGATGTACATGTTGAGTAGCCATGTCTTGTCCAGTGGCGAGACTCATCGGCTGCTTCCTGTCCTAGAATAATATAAAAAGAAAAACAAATGTACCAGCAATAATCTTAGTATAAAGCCTATATTACATAGCTATTATAACCCAACTGTTACATTAACAGAAATTAATGGGGAAAAGTTAGAGGTGCAAAGCATCTAGAAGGCTCCTTAACTGGCTATTAATTATAACTTAGGAGGAATATGATAACAAAGTTACACCTCAAGTTTGATGATTTTTATAACGGTTTTCTGCAGCCCCATTGCATGAATTATCACATTTTACTTGTTTTAAATGTCTTTTTGTATAGATGGACAATGGCCAATGACCTGTTGTATCACACATGATTCATCCATTCTAGGAAACTACATGCTACTGTGGGACATCACAAATCACCTGCTTAGCTCATTTAGTAGAGTGACCAATTTTTTCTGACTTGCTAAAATTGGTCTTTCATGAAATTAAATCAGTTTAAAGTATTCTATGGTGATATGGATGTTATCTTATGAACCATTTCAGCATCAACCATTTAAAGGGCGATAGTCACTGCGTCATGCACGTGTGAGATACATGGGTCTCTTAAAAACAAAGAGTTCAAACTGAGATGTTCCCAAGCTTTAAATAGGTATTTTTTTTAGGTGATTGGAAGGTATTGAAAGAGACAACAGCGGTAATTAATGCAAGTCGCACCCAGGTCAAATCTCATACTTGTAATTTCTATTAGAAGAGTGCATTGAACTGTGTGACTACCACCACCCTTTAAAAAAAAACATTCATTCCCTGTTCAAGAAAGCATGGTACAATGGTAGTTACGCAACACTATGCCAAGAACACAAAACATCCATGGAAGATGTAGAGAGTCCAGTATGGTTCCTTTTTGCATATTTCAGAATGCATACTAGTTTTTTGTATAATATGTCAAATATTTGATGTGTGGATTTAAAACTACTGTCAAAAACCTGATTTGATTTGCCAATTTAGAGGTTAGAAAGGAGAGATAGTGGATTTATAATTTTTTGATGTGTAAATTTAAAAATAAGTCTGTTAGGGACGACGTCAAAAGATCGATGTCGGATAAAAAACTTAATTCCTTCATTTTTTCCAAACCCCCCTACCCCCCACTGAAACTTAATTGATAAATATTGGTCATGGCATCAACTACATTCACCATTAAATAAAAATTGATAATTGGAC